TCAGGAGAAAGGCCCTCGCCTTTATCCAGGTCTTTCAGCAGGTCAGCCTGATATGCCTGGAACATCGCCATCATGTGCAATGAAGCGACAGCCTGACCTACTGCTGCTGCGTATGCCCTGCCATTCAAGCGAGATGTTTCCTGAAGGGGCTTAGATGGCAAGGAGGGAGTGTTAAGAGAGGACGTCTCACCCATAGAGAGATAGCTGGCCAGCGTCTCTCTATGGGGGCATCTTTTCATAGCCGTTTTCGCGCATCGCCTCGAAGTTGACATAACTCGTATGCTGGAATCGATGGATGCGTGAGGAAAACGGCCTCTTCCATTCCTTCTCAATCTCAGTATGCAAATCAGGAAGAAATGGAAGGCTCACCTGAGCTGGAGGGTTATGGCCAGAAAGAAAACGCTCATCGAGGCGACCTCGCGACGTCACTTTCTTGGCCCGCTTCCACGGCAAGTCCAGCCTCGCCGTGGCGCGATCCATAACTTCCAACAGCTCAACACGGGTCACGACGAGGCATTCCCCATAGCGACCCCTAGAGGACGCAGTTCGAAGTTCCCTTGAAAGGGAACATATCACAACCAGTGTAGTACAATTTCCAAACAAACTTCTTCTATAAGTCTGTCCTTTTTAGTGAAACAAAAGAAAAGTTAATGAAACGGTGAGGAAACTGGAATCTTTAAGAGGAAACCGAACGAAAACTGTTGAATTATTCTCAGTTCCCTTCCTTAAAAAACAACTGAACCTTGATTTGTTTTTCTACGTCTGTTCCTAATCTTCAATTGGTTGTTTTGCTTATTTAATGCAATGACTATTTATCCAGCTTCCACTTTTAGCATGTAGCATTCAGAGCACTGCTGATTGAGCCGTCTGCAAAACACAATGTTTTTTTTCTCACCTTTGCACCATAGATAGAGATACAGATATTTATTCAGACCCTTGGCAAAGTCTTGTCTCATTTCAGGGACTTGAGAAGCTATTCAGAGAGGCAGCATTTAGATGTAAATCTGGCTGATATAAAACCCTGCTATTGAGAGATAAGGAGGTCACAGATGTCATCGCAGTGTCTTTTATGTGATAGCTGTTCAGAGACGACGAGCTAGGATTGAACCCTGAGGTGACATAGCGGCACACTAAACAGGACAGAATGTGTCTGTGTCAACCTTCTCCCAGCGTGGGCTTCACACGCACACACAAACACACGCGCATAGGAAAAAAAAAACACCTGTGATTCGCATCACAATGCCAGTAATTTTTCCTCCTCATTGCACCCGATTTCATTAGACCTGCATGTTTCATCTTGACCTGCAAAAGGGTTGACTGACTACGACAGCAATGCAGATGAGTGAGTGAGAAATGCAAAGCTTCTGTTGTATACTATGCTCCAAAGGGACGAGACTAAAGATGCAAGTTTGTCTTCATGAATATGGTTCTTCCAATAAAAGGAATAAGAAAAAATATCAACTTTTATTTGTAATGTAGTAATGTTTTGCCTATTATTTGGCTTTTTTTAGTCAATAAACTCAAACTATTGGCTGAGGCCAGTGCTGCTATTGTGGGATGATTGAGATTGTCACATTTGCTTCAGATTTTAGTATATGTGTGTGTGTATATAAGTGTATTTTAACTTTAGTGTTTAACATTCCTCAAAATTTAGCTTTACAATTGGAGATTAACTCAAAATGTAAGTATTGTAGCATATATTCCATGCGTTACCTTTAATGTCACCTATGTGCTACTGTACTAGAAGTTGAGAAACAATCTTTTAACAGCTAGATATACATTTTTCTGTGAAAATAAATAAATAAAAATACTGATAACTCCTCTAGCACTTGTGGTTATATCCAAAGTTTTGTCCAATAAAATATTAGCAATAGCAAAGAAAGAGAATGTCTGTCTACAAAAAAAAAAAAAAAGGCTAAGCACAACTAAAGCCTATTGGCCATTTCTGAAAAATAAGTGGCATCCCAACTTCCTGTTTCAATAAGACCTTTTAACATAAGATAGAAACCTGTGCTTGTCAAAGCAATGTTCTCATGTTCTGACATCTCAAGCATTTCCTTATTCCCTGAAATATGGAGAAGGTACAGCTGAAAGAATAAAATGCAATTTGCTCTTTAAAGGTCAACTTTCTAAATGTTCCATTTGCTTGGTTTATGAAAAAGGTATCACTAGATTTGCATGAATATTTAACAAGGCACTATAAACAGCTTAACCTGAGTTTATCAAGGGCTCCGTTTCTCACACGCATTCATTTGCTTCACTACTGCTTCCCAATCTTAGCTAAAAATCTCCATTAAAGAGATCTATATGCAGTATATCATGCTTTTGACATATAACATGCAATATTTCATTATGTAAATTAGCAGATAATGGTGCTAAAATGGATCGAAACACACATTTCAGAGATGTGTTTTCATGTGTGTGGTTGCCTTCTGCACACTCACGCGATGACAGCCCAGCTCCTCTTCAGGGGTAACTCCCCTGGCCTAAAAAGGCAAAACATAATGCCGTTGCTGCCGGGGACTCTAAGAATAAACCACACAGTCCAGTCACAGATAAGGTAACCTTGAAACCCGTCCTCCCCTCTCTCCCATGTTTCCTGACCCACACACACATCATGGGCTGGTAACAAACATAAGGACAACCTAGGGCTTGATTTGCTCTTTTGACAGCCTAGCCTTGTTTTTTTCCCCTTCCTGCTGGTACTTGGTCCCAGCTGGAAGTGTATAGTTTTTTTCCTATGCCAATTTAAGCAACAGGTGCCATTTTTTTTGCTTCCTTGTAGGGGGACCTGGCACAAGCGCAGGTTTTATTGGGACTCTAACAGGAAAGTCACAGAGAGCCATTGTGGTGCTTTCGATCGGAAAACTATTCCGGACCGGGGAATTGACTCTTGAGACTCTTGTGTTTTCAGCCTGTTAGTGCATGAGAGAGATGGAAGGTACTGTCAAATTCATTTTCCAGTTACATTTCTAAGTGCATTTAACAATAAGGTGTAATTCAAACAAATGTTAGTGTAGGTAATGTAAATTATGCTACTAACAGTATACAGTCAAGTATTGTACTTTAACTTAGTCACTTAGTCAAGTTAACTGTCTCTTAGACAGCAACCATCTGCTTTGCAGGGGAATTTTATGGTTGAAAGCTGCTAAAAATACACCATATCATATGGCTCTATGGTAATCTGTAGTCCGTTGAAGCAGGCCTCTGATGTTGTTGCAGCTTTTTAAGGGTTTTAGTGTTATCAACTGAAATACAGTTCAATCAGCTAGAGAGGAAATATATTTAAAGGAATAGTTCACTCAAAAATTTTTATTTAAAAAGTATTTTAAATTTACATTTCAAACAGTTCTTGAAGTAATTTATTTACCCTCAAGCCGTCCCCAACCCGTATGATGATTTCACCATTTGTCTTCCACAGAAGAAATTACAATGAACAATTACAATGAACAGTGACTGAAGCTTTAAAAAGGACACAAATGCACCATAAAAGAGGTCCATGCTACTAGTACATTCTTCTCACGTCATTGCAGTGAGATCACTGAGTCAATGGTTTTGGTTTAAGATTTGGACAAGATTGATTCATGAATAAATCACTCACTGAAAAGATTTGACTTAAAACAATGATTAATTTACAAATCAACCATCACTACTTCTCTCAAGAGCAGCAGCTGTCAAGATAATCAGTGAACAACAACTCCAGTCTGTTTCACAGTTATAGTATGACTTTTGAAAACTTGGAATAAAGTTACAGTAAGCTTTCAATGGGGACTGAAGCTTTTCAGGAGCCACAAAAGTGGTTCAGGTGACTTAAAGTTCCAGTTTTTCTTCAAAACATATTAATTGATAGTTGAGCCATTTAACTCCTAGATTTAGAAATGTGGTATTCTCAAAGATGTTCCCAAGACATTGAAACCCTGTTAGTTTCCAAACCAAAAAAGGAGTGTGTTTAAAAATTTTGAAACCTTTTTAGAGTCATTATCAGTAACTTGAGATAGAGTTCCAAAAAAAGCCAATTATTGACGTCAAGGGCCTGCATAAATGAGCCCCAGTCTTGCGTGAAATGGCTTAATGCTGCAAAGACTTAAAAAGTACATTTGATATTCTGATTAAACTGTGAAAAGTCTCTCAGATCAGCCTGAATAAATCATATTTAAAGTGACACTTGAGGGAATAGCGGTGCAGAGTGTTTTTTATGCTGACTTCATTGTCTCAACAGCTCTCACTTACTAACCTGGGATTAGTTTCCATGGATATCCACACACGGATCTGAGGAGGACAAGGTCTCATATTAAAATACGCAATGAGAAAAGGGCCATTTTCTGTGCCACCTTCTGCCACTGTTCGGTTTACAGTGCAACGCGAGTTGAAATGGCATTTGCGCACTGTGTTGCCGTGGAAAGATTTCTCCTAAGCCTTTTGTGTACACTATCTGCGATCTTATGTTTCTGTACAATCAGATACTCAAGCTTGTAGACAATCTGCAAGGGCGAAGTCATGTTAATACAGAAAGATGCAGCATTACTCCAAACCAGATGCAGCTAAGCATATGGTGTCTACAGGAAGCTTCTTGAGTCAGCATTTGGATGGGACGTGTAATCCTAAATTTGACAACAGGGACAAATGTGAAGAGTTGCAACAGGTGGTCTCAGCTGATACTTTCGGCGTGTGACGAAACCCCTGGACACACAGACACGTCATTATGTTCAAGCAAAAGTGGAGCCAGTGAAAAACGTTGGATCTCTGGGCAACAGGGCCAACAGAAACAAGAACCACTGCCTTGATCTGGGCTCAGATTCACAATGGATAATCCACAAATCCATTTCCGTAAACACAATCACAACGGCTTGCTCAATCATTTACCATGATTTAAGTCAGCAATATTGGCAAAGATCAATCAAGGGGTCTCGTAAACGTAGCGGCATATATAAAGGTTATGTGTGGTGTATGTTTGGACTCTGAGCAGCAATTCAGACTGAGCTGCTGTAAGAATTTATATCAATTTAGAAAAGAAGCTTTTAAAGGGGCTCCGGCCAACAGATGGCACAGCACCAGCATTCCTCATGTGGCCTTGGAGATGTTTTAACGATGAAGCATTGCCATTGCAGATGTGTGCCCTATCTACAGACAACAAGTTCAATTCAATCTCTCTGCCAGGCAATGCATTGATAAAGACAAAAAGCAAACATTCATCTGCTGTCTAGCTGTCTTTGTCTTCATAACTCTTATGTCCTTTCTGCACAGAGAGTGAGCAACATGACAGAACTAGATAACTTTTAATGTTATGTGCATACAGTAGACAGATTCCCTGAATATCTTTGAGCATCAAAAGCTTTGTTTCCAGACAATATGTTTGTGAAAAATCATACTATCTCCAACATATTAGAAAACAAGGCATCGTTTCCATCCCATGTGTTAAGAAATTTGTCTAAAATACTGTAGAAATTAAAGTCGCAGCCACTGCGGCTCATTTTACTCGCTGTTTGAAATGTGCAGACAAAATACCCTTTGTTTTGTCTGTAGATGCTCTATGCAGACAAAATAAACTATGTTTGTAAACTATCAACAGCAGATGCCTTATTTCTGGGAGCAACAACATATCAGATGGTTAAGGAAGTTAATAGTAGCTAATCATCTGATTCGAGTAGTTCACACAAAAAATTCTCAGCATTTACTCACCCTCATTATTTTAAACTTGTATGATTTCCATTCTTTTCTGAAACACAAAATAGATATTTTGAACATTTTCATCTGTTTTGTCACTACTATTAAAGTCAATTAGACCCAAACATTTTAAACTCCAAGAAGAACAAAGATAGTATGAAATTAATCCATGAATTGTATATTGCAGGTATATTGTTGAAGTGGCGCAATCACTTTATATGATGAATATTTTGTCAAATATATTTTGTCATATTTATTTATGTCAAAACATAAAGAGGAACTGACATCATTTCTATTTTATGGTGAACTATTCCTTTAAAGTGTTCATCATACCTGGTTTAATATTGGTTCAAACACTAACCATCTGGGCTCTAACACAACCAAGATGTCAACTCCACCAGTGACTACAAACTGAAACTGGACCTGATACTTACCATAAATTACCAGCTTGAACCAATTAGAATGGTTCCTTATGGTTTAACCTGTTTTGTACCTGTCTTGTTTGCATTCATACATTTCTGAACCTCCATCTGTCCCTACAGCGCGGTCCTCCACCACTACGACTACCATAGTCGAGGCTAAGAATGACCTGAGCGCACATCCCACACGTTCGTCCAAACGCACCTTAACCGATGACCTGCACACTACGTTCAGCTCCCCCATGGCCTGGATCCTCGTGCTGGCTCTCATCGTAACCTGGTCGGCCGTGGCGGTTATTATGTTTGACCTGCTCGACAGCAAGGGTCTTGAAGGTAGGTTCAGCTCTCTTATCTTGGTCCCTTCGTTGGAGAGTTATTTTGGAACAGTTTTCCTGAAGAGATTATAGGTTGGACGCAGCAGTCGATTATTTTATTGGCTACCTGATTGAGGGCTTTATATTATTCATTAACTCTTGGCTTAAAGTAAAACAGGACTCAGATGAGGTGTAATTGGATGCTTGGACGAGTCTTTACGACGCGATAAAGCTCCGAGCTTGTTTTCTTGCTGGAAGTTTATCAGCAGTGCCACAGGGCAAACTTGCGAGGCTTCTAAAAAGAGTGGGAGGGAGGGATATTGACTGGTTCCTGATAGCATTGACAGTGACAAGGATAGATAGGGTGTCCCGTTGGCCAGGCTGCTATCAGCCACCACTGCATTCATGTGGAGTCAGAGAAAAGTCCTTGTAGGACACTATTTTACCTTGTATTACCACCTGATGATACATTAGAATCCATTGTTGATGCGAGGAAGATGATAGAACGACTGTTTTGGTGCTAAATTGCTTGAAGTTGCAGTCATCTGTTCCTCCGTGTGTCAGTAGTTCCATAATGACAATTTTGAACTCTTCAACTGTTTAAACAATTTTCATTGTTTAGCTGGATTTATCACTGTCATTGAGATCACATCTCATTCACAATTCATTCCATCACAAGCTCTAGAACACAAACACATTAACCCATTTTTGAAAGTATTTCAAAAAGGAAACATTAGACTTTCATTGTCATATAGTTCACTACATGATTGCACCGCCCCACATTAGGAGTCACATTTACATTTACTTATTTCTAATAAGTTTCCCTCCTTTTTCCACCCTGTCCATCACCATGTGTCATCCTGTTGCCATCCAATAAAAAGCCCATACATTATACTGTGACGACCCCTGTTTACCACCTGGTAAAGACTCTCTGCCTGCAGTTCAGTGCTAATGCCCGTTTTTGTGTGTGCGTGTGTGTTTTCCTGCATGCAAACAGGGAGCAACTGTCACTCTCATCTCAAACATTCATTCGGACATGCAAATTTACTGAACCATGTAATCTGTCTGTCATGAACACAACATCACTTCCTCTAGACTGTCATGCATTCCATTCAGTGTGACACTACACCTTTGACTTTATCATAATGGCAGAGTGAATTGTGGAACTAAGTTCACTTTGAAAGCAGATTGCACTGTGCTTTATGGTAATAAAAAAGTGATTGCTTCAGATTTCAGACATCTGATTGGGTTTTACATTTACTTCAATCACCTCTGTGCCAATGTACAACTGTGCCATTAATATTTCTCTATGCACCACAAAGAAAGATTAATCAGAATTTTTGTCTTGCTTCCCATTAGTAATATCTAAACACCTACAAACAAGATAAATTTACTTATAACTATAAATTTAAAAAATAACAAAGTCAGACTGGTTTTGAAAGAATGCATCTAAACCACTAGCAAAGAGTATAATCTCCTGTTTTGAGCATAGTTCACAAAATTTTCTTACATTTCTGATTAAAACAAGAAAAACATTTGCAAATGGGGTAAAAATAATAATAATAATTATAATTCAAGATACATTCTTTGAAAATCTTAATACCCACTTTGCTTCGAGTATATTTATCCTGTTTAAATATTTAGATCTGTTAATTAAAATAAGGCTTTTGCTTTTAAAGAACAACAGTGCAAATTAAAAAAGAAAAAAGGGTGTTGTGTCACCAGAATGTACAAAAGTGTTCATCTTTCATATTCCTGTGCATAAAATAATGGTTTATTTTGGTCTCTAAATTAAACATACACATTACAAAATAACACATTTGTAATGCCAGACATTTAAAAAAGATAAATAATAATAATAATAGCTTCAAATATTGTTTTCAACTTAAGTAATTTGTAGTTCCAAATGTTGTTGTACATTGAAATGCAACATGAATCTAATTTAAGCTCAAGAGACAAAGATATCTTCTTACCCGTTATATTAAAAAATATGTAAGCTAAGTTAATCATAAACATCATAAATCAGACCTCATATCATAGTATGGGCTTGACGTAAGGGGTATAAAACAGTATGGCATCATCAAAATGCTTGTGGCTCTGATTTCATCAGAACTACAATAACATAAAGGGAATGAACACCATTTTTATTCTAAGTGCAAAATGCTTCAAAAAAAATCATGCACATGCAGCAAAGACGTGAGAAAATATTAACAATAATCTGAAATTCTCAGAACAAAAAATATACTAAACTTTTTAATTAAAAAATGTGGACTGCATATCATTTGAGAGACTTTAAACCATATTTTTATTTGAGACAGCATGACATCAATAAACTTTGTGCCAATTGCTCCCTTCCACCCTATGATATCCAACCTCCATGTGTTGGTGTCTACTTTGCGATATTGCTTTCAATAAGCCTCAAATTATTCACTTCAATCAATTAATTTTATTCTAACATCGATAACTATGCTTTGAAAGCACTGAAGCGTGACTTCGTTTATTAACTGTGTGGTATTGAACGGCAACTCCTCTTTGCCATGCAGAATGATTTGATTCTTTTTTCATTAAATGCATTGAGCAAAACAATGATATTTTACCTGTAGAATATTAATGAAGTATTCTATGTTGCAGATTTCTCACGTTCTTTACAGGAGAAGGAATATATACTTTAATTTCCCTCTCAATGCACAGCTAAGCCTGGAGAAACGGCAATGCGGAATCATGGGGAGGAAGTTGGCGCATTGGCCCATCTTAACACAGCCTTGCATTTACAGAGTCTTTACCATTTGACTTCAGGTGGTCTATAAGGGTGGTTCTCAACTGGTTTTGCTTCAGAACTCAAATTTTATAATGGACATGAAGACCCAAAACAGTTTTAAAATGGTCTACCCCACAAAAGTAAATAGAAATGTTCATAAAAACGAAAAATAATTCATATTTCTTTTACCTTGTGTAGCTTTTATCAATGTGTTTTTTGGATGAAGGAATGTCAGGCAACATTTCATGCTGGTGTCTGTCTTCATTTTGCTAGCTGTCTAATTTGCACCAGAAGTCCCGCCAGCTGAGAGCCACCGGTCTACAAAACAGTAAAACGGAAATAAAAAAGACAAAAAAACACAGGAGAACATGCATTTCCACCAATTACATTGAATGGCAAGAATATTGTGATGAAAATAATGATTTTTCTAAAGGTAAAAGACATCAGGATTAAACTGCCACTGCCACAGATAACAGAAAATGATGGCACATGTACAATAAGCCATTAAAATCAACACTGTGTATAAACATATAATATATACATAGTTCATGACTGGTAACAAACTTCTCTAGTTCCCTTTACTGTTGGAAAGCTGTGCTCATTAAAAGAGGAGTCGAGCGCAGAGGACTGTGTGATGTGAGTAAAGGGTGAAGCTTCACTCACTTTCAAGACAAGATTCAAAGACCACTGTGTTCCCCAGTGCTGTGACTGAGATTCTGTTGGGAATCATTCCCCTCATGCCTGTGGAATAGTCTAGTGTCCTCTTTTTGCCCTGGAGCCTCAGTCACATGACTGGTCAATGCAACAGTATAATTCTAAGAACAACTTAGATCAGCATAAGTGATTCACATACTCACTTTCTAAGCAACTGCATCAGAGTTCCTCAGAACATTGATACAATTGAACTAAAGTACAAAATATTGGTAGCCGTAATAAACAGAAACAACTCTTTTATGTTTGTCTATTATACTGCTTTCTGTGATTTTGCCAAGTAGGGCATGTCCTTTCATTCCTTGTTGGTGATAGAGCAACAGTACGATCAACCTACCATTTCGATTTTTCATTTGGGAGCATGTCCTTCTTGGCAAAATCATAGTCAGCATATCATAGCCATGACAAACTGCAGAGCTGGATTTTCAAATATGCAGAATATTATCATGTACATTAAGAAATTGATTTTTAACCACCAATGACATTCCTGCAAAAAATAATAATAATAATAATTTTCTTGCTAAGAATTTTCAGTATTGTTTTTCATTATTTTTCGTACCCAACTGGCAAATTATTACTTTTTTTTTTTCCCACGCATGCATAAAAATAACAAAATACAATGAGGTTTAAAAAATATTTGCCAATAAAATAATTACATACATATTTAATAAATATTTACTTGGTAAAAAATCTTATGCTTATATTATACTAGAGAAGGATGTTTGGACAAAAAAAAAAAAATCCAGATTAAGAAAATGATTTCTGCATTGATAAAAAGAGCAGACATATTACTATAGATAAGACTGAAACCAGCACATTTGTGCACTGTGAACCCTCTGCACTTTGTCCTCGAGATATGTATAAAACATGAAGACATTCATTCAGTTTGAGCTCATTGTATCTTTACTTAAGCATTCATCTGTATGGCTTTGTGTCTCTTATATTGATTTCATTGGTTCAGCAGCATTGCCCCTAGAAAAAATGTCTATGGTTCAGATATCCGTTATAGCTCAGGAGATTTTTATTTTTTTTGGAATTATCAGTTATGTAGCTATCAACTGTCGTCTCAGATTTTTTTCTTTGTAGGAAAAAAAAAATGAAAACAAATGTCATACATAAACACATATAAATGTATTGGGGTTATATATAGCATGTTAGATTATTGATTATTATTATCTTGCATATTTTGGTATCTTGGCAAATCTGATCAGCCTGAGACACAGCTGGAGGGGTCACATTTAAGATTATATGTTATTCCTCTAAAGGAAATGTATATGAGAATCTGGAGGCATAAGTAAAAGTTTCCATTTGCTCTCATTTTAATCTTATTGCTGTCTAGAGATATTAAATAAATCTCATTTGTAATTTCCCTTTCCTGTGAGTTTATACGTCACACTCAAGCACCCAAAAATGTAAAATGTTGTCAGTTTTGAGTGTGTGAGCTTAGAGGGCAATGCTGAATTTCCATAAAGTAGGTTAAAAAGTTAATCAAACAAATGTCACTGAATTCATCAGTATTGCATTAGCATTTCTATGTAAAGGAGATGTCACAATTACATTATGAGGCTTGAATTTCAATGCAGCCAGAAGCAAACGTGAGAAAAGAGAGAGTGTGACAATTTAATTTGCCATGAACCAGTAAATGCTCTAAAAAAAAAAGAGACCATAATACAGTGTCTTGCATAACGCATTCACACTATATGTCTCCTGCCTCTACTTGTTTATTATTTTGCAAAATGTTAATGTTTGCAGTTTCATTTTCACTCAGCCGAAGTGTTTTTGTAATCACTGTGAGATGGATTAATACGATATGTCTCTTTTCACACCTTCCCTGTGATTTTGTGCCATAAGTGTGATTGTGTTTTATTTATAATGGTGGTTAAATTTCCCTGATTATCCTGCCTACCGTTTTGAGCGTGCTCAGTGAGGACGACCCAATGAGAGCGTGTGTGTGTACAGTATGTGTGTGTTACTATCCCACACCTCTGCTTCTGTGTCTCTCATCCTAACAGGACCTCAGCCACACCGTGTCAGGAAAACATTAAAGGAAGCAGGCAGCCTTAGAGGCAAGCCATCTTATATCTTACATCTTACACATACCGAGTGGTCTTATGCAGCAAATTTGAAGTAGTTAATTAAATGACTAAACCAAGGTCATTGCAAGGTACTAGAAAACAAATTAACTTTACATTTATTTCAGTCATCCTAAATGGCATCTTCAAGCAGCATTCTTAAGAGAAATAACCCCTTTTCAATGTCAAGGTAAATGATGTGCAATTTTTGTTTGCCCTAAAATATTGACTCCTAATTTAATCTGGAGAAAAGTTATTCACATGTCGATTTCACAGAAAAACACTGCAATCAGTGGTGCGAGATCTGTTTGCCTGGTCAATGGAAGACAGGTTTTAAGATTTAATTATAAAAAAAAAACATAATTTTATATATATATTTATAACTCAACATTCTGAAACTAAAATAGCTTTACTGCCCATCTAATGCAATTTTACAAGCTGAGTTTAACACATGCTTGAGAAATTTATAACTGCTACAGATTATAGTAGCTGGCCGCCAGAATATTTTATAATCAAATACTAATTTATTCTAGCAGAAGTAGTGAACATGAGGGTGTTTAGAGGCTATAATGGAGGTCTGAGGAGTCTGGAGTCTGTGCATGCTGTCACGTCACCCCTGCATAATGGCTTCTGGTAAAATGGCTTTGACTCGGGTCATGCTGTTCGCCTGCTGATAACTGCAGACAGACAGGCACTACAAGATGATGTGTGAAATATGATGAGCATTCCTGTCGATGGGCAGTGGAAAGCAGGAAAACCCAAAAGTCTCCCTAAATGAAAACAAGTTTTACTGACTTGGCATTTATATTTGTAGCTGTATATGCAAACATACACGCACCTAGCTGTTTTCAGTCATGTGGATGTTCAGTCCTTTTCACTGCTGAATCTGAAATCATCAGTTTGTCTTATTGAAGATGTCATTCGGGGTTGATAGCACATGCACATAACGTGAAAAGAAGAGCTTTCATACAGTACATGACCAAAAGTATGTGAACACCTGCTTTTAATGAAATACATAATTACTAAAAACAGCATACAATTAAAGGGATAATTCAGCCAATAAATTAAAATTTTGTAATCGTTTACTCACCCTATAATGTCGTTCCAATCCTGTGCGAGTTTCTTTCTTATGTTGAACATAAAAGAATGTAAAGAAGATATTTTGAAGAATGCTGGTATCAAACATTTGATGGTCACCAATGACTTACATAGCATTTATTTTGCTTACTATGGAAATCAATGGGGACCAACAACTGTTTTGTTCTTCAAAATCCTTCAAAATATCTTCTTTTGTCTTCAACATAAGAAACTTATACAGGTTTGGAAGTGAGTAGATGATGTAGATGTAGATGAGATACAGTAGGGTGTAGATGATGACAAAATTTTCATTTTTGGGTGAACTATTCCTTTAAGCACACAGTCAAACAATTTGTTTAAAATAGGGTTTTCAGACTTTCTGATGGCAAGGACCCCTGAAATGATGATCTAATCTCAACGAAGAACCTCCTGCATAAAAAAAATGTATATAAAAGAAGAGAAATGACAGAGAGAAAATAGCAAGATAACATCTTGTCTCCAAAATCAACAATTTTTATTTTATACTGTCATATAAAATATATTCTATGAATATAAAGGATATATTATATAAATTTATTGTACTATAAATTAATAATAATCATTATATATATATATATATATATATATATATATACACACCTGTATATTATCATATTTTGCATACATATAAATAAATATATATATAGATATATATATATAGAGAGAGAGAGAGAGAGAGAGAGAGAGAGAGAGAGAGAGAGAGAGAGAGAGAGAGAGAGAGAGAGAGAGAGAGAGAGAGAGAGAGAGAGAGAGAGAGAGAGAGAGAGAGAGAGAGAGAGAGAGAGAGAGAGAGAGAGAGAGAGAGAGAGAGAGAGAGAGAGAGAGAGAGAGAGAGAGAGAGAGAGAGAGAGAGAGAGAGAGAGAGAGAGAGAGAGAGAGAGAGAGAGATATTCATACATTTAATATAACATAAATATTTTCCAGATGTGTGTACATATCTGGAAAACATGTATGTATCTATCCAATATAAGAGTAAGAAAACCAAAGAAACATTTTAATCCCATATTACATAAATATATACTATATACTATAAATATGCTCAGATGCACACTTGTTTACTGTTAAACAAGTGCATGACTGTTAATAATATATTTGATACAATTACATTAGTATAGAATTACAACAACAACAACAACAACAACAAAAACAACAATTACATGATTTCTAGACTATAAACAGTATGTAAAAAAGTAACAATGTCCAATACAAACATCAATAACAACAACAAGAAGTGAACTTCCTAAGTCCATGCTTTTGAAATGTTCAACCACATATGGTTTGAGTGTTCAGGTGTCCACATAATTCTGGCCATATTAGTGTACTTTGTTTGTAATTGTTTTTGAGCTAGATGTTACACAGTTTTGTAGAGCTTTAACAAAAGACTGTGACAGTTTTGAGGTTTTTGCTGTTGTTAGAGCTGGTTTAGATGGCTGTAAGTTAATGTATGTTGAGCATATGGAAATATGTGTCTTAAGATGCCCTGTCTAAAACATGCTCTTAGGGGGTATTCAGCACATCAGCTCTGATCCCATGAAGGCGGTGAACGAAGCCATGGACGACTCTACCGATTGGATAACATCAATCTTGACTTTTATGACTAATTTGGTAGCACCGGAAGAGGAGGAGGAGGAAGGTATATTAAATTGTTGTAGCCTTCATTCAACATTAGCAGCACGATTACATAGCAAAGTGTATACTGTCATTTTAACAGCATCTCAGAAACCACAGACTAACCCGCAGCGGTTTGATCTGACGAGCCATGTGTACTAATAGGTCTTATTAGAAATCTAAGCTGGCTTTTATGGTCACATTTACCTGCTTTAAATGGTTTCCCAAAGGGATTGAATATCATGGATTATATTTGTGCCAATATTTTATTTCAGCAATCTATATTCTGACATAATATTATAAGATCAGCTAGAAAATTCGAAATGATGTGTTTCATAACCAAGAAATATTAAAGGATGGGTCACTATTTTACAGCTTTACACTACAACGAAGAGTTTTGAGAAAGAGGACGAGGAATTTCAACCAGGAACTGTCAGCCCGAACTCTGTGTGCCACATGTGTGATTCTACAAAATAACAATAAAAATCAAACAAAAGAGTATCACATCTCTGTCATTAATCTCTCACGTCAAATCTTCTTGGTTTCTTTTGATAAGATAGTTATTCAGTGTTTGATTCACAAAGACTCACACATACTTGGTAAAATTGATTGAAAAATATTTTCATTTATGTTTATTCATTTAGGAGATATATTTAGAAACTTACGAATAAGAATACAAGCACTAGCAATTGATCCAAAGAGGACAACATAAATAATGCTACTGTACAGAATTTAATTTTAATAAGCACTAGGACAGTATATACAGAGAATAGATTACATTATATTATAAAAAATGTAGTGTAATATAGTAAAATAATAATATAATAAGGTTATAAAGATGGCTTGAGGATAAATATAAACAATGTTATTAATCAAGATTGTTGTCTGTTTTCAGGGAAAAAATTTAATTATATTAGACAAAATGATGTGAGTAAAATTGCATAAGACTTTTTAGAGAATGTATCTTACAACTATTTTTCTTACGCAATTGTCATTTTAAGCAAACCTTTCAAGAAAATGTGATGATGATAATAATAATAATAATAATAAAACAATAAATCAATATTCATTCTCTGAAAATAAGTCTTAACATCTTGCATTTTGAAGTACACTGAGAGAAAGACACTGAAAGCACTCACAAAAAAAGATGGTGTAAAAATAACTTATACTCAAAAATTGCTAAACTAATATGAAATTTTAAAGTAGAAAGACTGAACTAGTATTTTCTTATAAAAGGTACTCCCAATAGTATTTATTTTATTTATTCTCACTTCGAAAAATATTTTTTACATTGTAAAAGCATTGCTCTTAAGATTTTTACTGTGTATTTCTTTAGACAAACAATTAAAAATTAAAACAAGACAACAATACTGATTAAGAAAATATTTTTTTCCCAGTGTAGAACAGATGCTGCATTATTTTGGATAAATAAAAGGAGTCCTTCAATAGACCTAAAAATAAAGAGAATTTGTCACAAAGGGAGAACAGTAAATCTCAGAAAATATGCCTACTTAAGAAGCCAAACAACCTGAGATATCTAAATTCTCACTTCGAAAAATATTTTTTACATTGTAAAAGCATTGCTCTTAAAATTTTTACTGTGTATTTCTTTAGACAAACAATTAAAAATTAAAACAAGACAACAATACTGATTAAGAATTTTTTTTCCCAGTGTAGAACAGATGCTGCATTATTTTGGATAAATAAAAGGAGTCCTTCAATAGACCTAAAAATAAAGAGAATTTGTCACAAAGGGAGAACAGTAAATCTCAGAAAATATGCCTACTTAAGAAGCCAAACAACCTGAGATATCTAAATTTCCCCTCTTTCATTTTGGAAGCTAATGGGTCATTGTGGTCTCATTGAGGGCAGCTCATATGGCCCTGTCTTCAACCACAGATGCACTTAGAAAGGTCATAAGCAATGTTCATTAGGTGCTCAATCTCCTCTACTTTTTACCCTCATTTTGTATCAAATTTAGATTAGTGGAGTTAATTTTCAATTGACTTCTTTGATCTTGAAAATGCTTCACATCTGTTACAAGACTATCCAAAGAGTACCCATACAGTGAGGGTAGTATAGTCTAGTAGACTAGTCAAATAGCAAACAAAGCTGCCATTAAACCTGACACTTTTATTATAGGCAAATATATGCCTATTTGCTTTAATCTAAAGATCAAAATCTCCAAAGATAAAAAAAGCCTATGAAGATTAAATAAGGCCTATGACATAACGAATCTACGTTTTAATGGCATTTACTTTCTGGTTAATTACCAGTGACCACAGAACTGTAGTCAATTAAGAAACCCCCACAACGCCTCAAGACTCATTATACAAGCATTTTAAGATCTACAGGATTTACATTACTACATTTAGCTAGTAGTATATTTATCATTAGAACACAAGCGTTTGGAATCTCCAGTATATCAATCAAATAGCTGAAATACAGAAGAAATAAATGTTTATGGGACTGTCAGAGAACAGTACACATATTCCCACTTTCAGAAACATTCATAGAGAGAGCTCAAAGCAGAGAGAGACACAATGGTGACATTGCCAAAATTGTTGAACCAATAACACGCTTGGCTAAGATTCCTCATAAAAGTCACCTTGAGGTGCTCATTTAAAATAAATGCATGTGGACTGACTGCCACATTGCTTCAATAGCTCCAGACAGTTATCAATGAATGCTTTTTAAATTGATGGTCATCTTTTGATGGAATGCAAGGTATACAAACTGATCACAACACTACATGCACATAGACAAATTATGTATACAGCCCGGTCTCATGAAAATGCATATAAATAGTACACCAAATAAAAACGAAAACTCGTGGTATTGATACGCAAAAATGGACTTTGGCGTGCATATGATACGCATGTGTTTGGCGTGCATATAATATGCAGTTTTCGCGTGCATATGATATGAAATTTGTTGGCGTGCATATGATACGCAGTTTTCACGTACATATGATACGCATCTACCCCACAACCCTAAACCTACCCATCGCGTAGCATATACACGCCAAAGTCCATTTTGGCGTATCAATACCACGAGTTTTCGTTTTTATTTGGCGTACTATTTATACGCACTTTCATGAGATCAGGTTGGTATACACTACCGCTCAAAAGTTTGGGATCAATAAGATTTGTAATGTTTTTTTAAAAAAGTCTCTTCTGCTCATCAAGGCTGCATTTATTTGATCAAAAATACAGAAAAAAACAGTAATCTTGCAAAATGTTTATACAATATAAAATAATGGTTTCTATTTTAATATATTTTAAAATGTAATTTATTCCTGTGATGCAATGCTGAATTTTCAGCATCATTACTCCAGTCTTCAGTG